TTTCGATTCGATGAGTTTTCGATGACATCGACATCGAAACGACGTTGATTCGACATCAGCCTTCTCACTGGGGTGACGCTATTAGGGATCGTTTGGGCGGCCCGGCGTTAGTCCTGGGGGATTTTAACGCCTGATCCCGCCTCTGGGACAATACCCGCCAGAACACCCGAGGAGATGCGATACTGGCGTGGGCCTCAAGACTCGACCTTAGGCTGCTCAACCGAAGCCGGGAATACATCTGTGTCAGACAATAAGGAAGATCAGTTGTGGACTTATCCTGGGCTTCGCCGGCGGCACTGGGGTTGATCAGATCGTGGAAAGTGGCCGGGGAGGAAGAATCCCTCTCTGACCACAAATACATGTTTATTGAGATCGGCGGAAAGAGAACTGCGGAAACGTCGGGGTCCAGGGTGTTTCCGAGATGGAATATGAGGACCATCAATCCGGATATCCTAAGGGCCTGTTTGGCCACATATTTTTGGCCTGCACAAATGTCGGCCGATGTCGGAGCTGAAGAGGGAGCTGCTTGATTACAAGCGGCATTAACAGAGGCCTCAAATGCCTCTATGAGGAGGCATAAATCGGGGAAGAAAAGAAGGACAACCTATTGGTGGAGTAACGAAATAGCTAACCTCCGTAGGAACTGCAATTCCCTTAGAAGGAAAGTCACCAGGGGACGCCGCAAGCGACAGGCGGCTGTACCGGCGCTAAAGGCCGATTTGGCGAGGGCGCGCAGAGCCCTCAGGACAGCTATTAAGAAGGCCAAGAATGGCGCCTGGAGAGAGCTGCTGGTCACGATTAACCAGGATCCGTGGGGTCGCCCATACAGATTGGTCTTGGGTAAGATACGTCCGGCGGAGCGACCTGTATGCGAGACCTTGCCTCCACAGAATGTGTCGCACATAATCTCTGAACTATTCCCAAAGGTGGAAGAGGAGCTAATGCCCAGACCGAGGCAGCAAGTGCAATGGGATAAAGACTTCCGTCACTTTGGAGGAAGTTGAATGGGCTGCAACCAAGCTCAAACGCAGTGGTAGGGCTCCGGGGTCGGATGGCATTTCGGGCGGAGTAATCAAAGAGGCACTCTCGGTGATAGCGATGCCGCTGACGAAGTGTTTAACGGCCTGTTTACGGGAGGGCGTCTTCCCGAAGATTTGGAAAACAGCAAAATTGGTCCTGCTAAAAAAGCACGGCAAACCGGATCGAATACCGTCATCATACCGACCGATTTGTCTGCTTAATAAACTGAGTAAGATGTTTGAGCGGATACTGGTTAGGCGTATCCGAGCCAGCATCTCGGAGGGAATGGGCCTTTCGGAGCATCAGTTTGGATTTCGGGAAAGACGGTCGACCATTGATGCGGTCCTGCGCCTGAGAGAACTTATCGAACCTGTGTATGAGCAGAGGAGACATGCGATTGCTGTTTCTCTCGATATCACAAACGCGTTCAATTCGCTTAGATGAGAGAGTATTAGACAAGCTCTAGTCAAGAAAGAAATTCCCAATTACCTGCGGGCGATTACGGAAGATTACCTATCGGATAGGTGGATTGTCTGGGAGAATGCACAGAGTCGAAAGCGTAGATCCTCAATGACATGTGGGATCCCGCAGGGATCAGCGTACGGACCCGAGGCCTGAACGTACACTTACGACGAGATGTTGCAACGGAAAATGCCAGTTGAGTGTCATATTCTCTGTTATGCCGATGATACGCTGGTGGTGGCGCTGGGAAACTCTATGGAGGAAGCTAGTGTTAGAGTAGAGCTTGGTGTGGCCTTGGTGGTAAAGTATATCGAGAGTCTTGGACTAAGAATTTCGGCTTAAAACAGAGGCCTGTATCTTCTCGCGCGCGTACAGAATTCCACGCAATAGGGTGATATTGGTCAGAGGGACCCCGGTGCCTGTCGACACGAGTCTTAAGTATCTGGGATTAACATTGAATAGAACATGGTCCTTCAGCGAGCACTTTGCGCGTGTGCTCCCGGCGGCGGAGCGGATGTCGTTGGCATTGGCTCGTTTGATGCCGAATCTGAGGGGGCCGAATGAGTTTTCACGTAGGCTCTATTGTGCGGTAATTCACTCTGTTATCTTCTACGATGCCCCGGTTTGGGCCCCCACTTTAAGTTCGAATCGCAGAGTGGTGAGGAAGATTTGCGCGGTCCAGCGTAGGGTAGCTCTTCGTGTGATCGCGGCGTATCGTACGGTATCGTACCAGGCGGCCTTTCTGTTGGCTAGGGTTATCCCGGTAGAATTCTTAGCCGATAGATACAGAAGAGTCTTCTTGGACACCCGGGAGATTCAGGGTCGGGATATTCCTGTCACAAACAGGATGTATGCCCGAATCAGAGAGGGGGCGCTTGAGGCTGCGCTGGACGCCTGGGCTGAGGCGTGTGGGAGACCCAGTCCAACGGCGGTCGAACTTAGGGGGGCTCTAATCCCAGTGTTGGCTAGGTGGTATGGGCGCTCCCATGGACATCTCACCTACAGAATGACCCAAATGCTAACGGGGCACGGCTGTTTCCGCTCATTTCTTTTGAGGATTGGGAAGGTTCCGCATGGAAACTGTGTCTTCTGTGGTGACCCGATTGACTCTAATGTGCACACATTGCGCTCGTGTCCCGCATGTAACACCGAAAGAGAGGAATTAGTTGGGACAGTCGATCCTGATCTCGATCTGAGAACGGTGATCTGTTCGATCCTGGAGTCGCGGGAAAAGTGAGTGGCGTTTGGCCGTTTTTGCGAAATAGTGATACTCAGAAAAAAAGAGGACGAAAGAGCCAGACAGGCACGGGTCATAGTGGAATCTGATGACGAGGGCATATCGGAGGACGAGGAGGATGACTAGTAACCGAAAACCCTAGGATCTTTCTTCGTTGGTACACGATCGAGCAATTTTTCGACAATGAGTCGCTCCTTTTTTCTTTGGTGTCGCAGCCTGATAAGTCGTGGGAGCTTTATGCTTCCGTGATCTCCGAGGGTGGCCCTGAAGTAATGCTCTCCAGCGGTTCCGGGGCCACCCTCATATGAGATCGGGTCGGATTTCTTCGTGGTGATGTTTTAGTGGGTAGGTGCCTAGGCCTCGTCATCTGGCCAGGCGAATTCCACACTCCCCTGTTGCAGGCGCAGGGGGTCTATGAAAATTTTTACACCACGTACAAAAAAAAAATCACAAGCAAGTCGCTTGACGTACTGACAGATGCTTCAATATACTTGGATGGCTTGCCCGCCATTTCTGTAGAAAGAATTTTCCACAAGCCAACATCTCCGTCAGCTGTTTTTGTAATGTCATCACGTCCTCAAGTGTGGACCCTCCGGTTAAAACATCATCCATGTAGAAGTCTTGTTCTACCGCTCTTGCTGCTAATGGAAATTCTTGTTGATAAATCTTAGCTAATTCCTTGAGACATCGTATCGCCAAAAACGGTGCGCACGCCGTTTCATACATTATAGTATTAAGCTGATATAATTGACGAGGTTGTGTTGCTTCATTGCACCATAGAATCAGCTCCCACACAGCACGAAGTCGACTGTTAGTCGACTGTCAGTCGGTAGAAGAAGTCTAAAGTCGACTTCAAAGTCAGACTAAATGTCAACTTATAGCCGACTAACAGTCGACAAATGTCTCGACTATAGTCGGCTGTAAGTCAGCCATGTCAGTCGACTTGAAGTCGACTTTATGGCAACTA